GCATTGGACTCCATCCCTCCATCAGGTGACAGGGCAAGCTTTAGCACAGCCCAGCTTCCTTTTTTCAAACAAATGGTATTGTGTTTTCAATGAACGTACACACAGATAGTGTATTGGGTTTTCATTTAACAATTTCTGTATAACTTGTTTAGGTTTTCATTTAACAGTTTCTGTACAACTTGTTTAAAGACATTGGTTCCTTTTTTTCCATGCAAAAGAAAACAGAAAATCATTTAAAATAGAAAAAAATTAAGAATGGATCTAAGAGGAAATTAAATGTTATTATGTTAATTTTTAACTGAACTATATCTGTGTTCATTCACTTTTTATATTCTCTACCTGTAAGCAGACTTTTCACATCCCTGGTCGATGGTCTGAGGGGTTTTACTGGACACTTATTCTCCATGGGGTTTTGGGCGTTCACTGTCATTCATACCAGGTGCTCAGAATGTAAGCTCTAATACATTTCCCTCCTATGATATTGGATTTTGTTATTTATAATCTATGGATCACACAGGCTGATTTGTTTCTTCTGCGTGGGCTTAGCTAATACATCACTTAGATAGCTGCTTGTTTTATAACAAGGTTTCAAGACCCCAGATGCTGTTGTTTTCTAGTAGCCAGGCACTATCTGCTTTCTTTGCTTTTAACACCCTTATCATTAGTGATTCTCTCTCGAGGGGAAGTTTGGACAGGGAGCTGGATCCTAAGAACGTATTGTTCCTAGGTTAGGGCTTATGGTTGAGTAAGAGCTCAAAATCTATCTGAGATAGACATATATATTTATCTCTGTTCCACTGTAGTGGCAGCATTATCAGTCTTTGAGGGACACTATAAGTGACCTCCATTAGATGGCCCCAGTTTTTTTATGACAGTTTTACTACTTTCTTACTAGCCCTGTTAAAGTACAGTTGGGGGTCAAGGGTGGGGTTCATAAAAGGGAGACGATGTTAAGGAGTCCAGGAGGAAAAAGAATGTTTGGAAACTGTGGTAGCAATTGTACTATTCTGGTTGACGTGATTGAACTATGGAATGATATGATATATAATAATTCCCAATTCATTATAAAAATATATGCTAATTATTATTTTTAGACCAAAAAAAGGATTTAAATGGTGCATAGTTGGATATATGGTTTAGAGGAGCTATTTATAAAGGACATCTATATGTCAATATGAACATACTCGTTTTCATGCTGACTTGTAACTCACACTTGTTGCATGGTGTGATAATATTAAGTAAGTTTGTGAAAGGCAGACTGAAGGGCGAGACGTTTTACGATCTCTTCTCTGTTGTTCTTCGAGGCCATCGAGTCTCTGCAGACTCCTGGTAACCGAATGCACAACGAAGGACACACTGCGCCGTGCTCACAGTGGCTCTTACCTTGGTGCCCGTCAAGGCAGCCAGTGGGTCATTGTGGTCAAGGCCTGTCTGTGTTTCACTGTCCAGCTACTTTGCCAGGCATGATGTCCTTTTTTAGGGACCGGATGCTCTTGAAAGCATGTTCAAAACACATCAGCTGAAGTCTCCCCTCTAGGGGCATTCTGGCTGTACTTCTTCCAACTCCCAATTCCTCAAATACAGAAAACGCAGGGTTGGTTTACAAATCCTTGTTTAACCCTTGCAGTCTTGGAAATGTGTTTGGGATTGGGGATTAGTTGGTTGATTTCGTGTTTTTTAACTCATAAGTTCTCTTATTAATTCAAAACTCACTGCCATCAAGTCAATAGACTCATAACCACCCTATAGGACAGGGTCGTCCTTTCCCTGGTGGGTTTCAGCGACTGCAGTTCTTTACGGGAGTAGAAAGCCCCACCTTTCTCCGCAGGACTGGCTGGTGGTTTTGAACTGCTGGCCTTGTGCATAGCAACCCAACACATAACCACTACACCCCCAGGACTACTCATGTTCTCCTGTTAGTGAACTGCACATCATGGCCGTATTTCATAAACTATAAAGACATCACTGAAAAGAGAGAGAAGAGGTTTAAAATGAAAATGAGTTTCCTGGAATACACACAGTACATATCTGGAAACTAATGAGTAAACTCCATTTTCAGTTTTATCTTCATGTAGGTTATAATATTTTCTGCAGTGCCTCAAGCCATCCCAGGTGTGACTCTCTTAAGCTGGGACACTTTACAATGTGTAGCATTGTTCTCTGATAGTGTTTCTGTGGAACCTCACAAATGGAAGCAAATGAGTGTGGCGTTTGAGCAAACCTTGCCCGCTTTCGGTGTGTCCTCCCAGCCGGCCCCACTCCCAAGTAGAACACAGAGCAGGAGCTTTCTCCTCTGTAAGGCTGTGTCCCTGGCCGCCTGCTGTTTTGTGATCATCCTCTGAAGCATCCCTGCAATAAGAGGAGAAGGTGAAAATCAGCCTGCAGGTTTAAATTAATTGTGCTGCTCACTTATGCAATGAGTTAGCCAATACATTCAATACAGCATGCTAAACTTGGAGTTGGACTGCAATTGGAAAGAGAAAGCTGGGTGGGTGGAAGTCCTCAGTGACAGAGTAAGCTCATCTGAAGGAGAACGATGTCGAGCATACATATGCAAATGCTGGCTTTCTTTATTCTGATAAAAGTAGTCCAAAGCAGTTGGTTTATCTATTTTATTTAAATACACCTGGTACTGATTTGCAGTGTTTAAATTAAACACCTTTTGTCTTAAGAAGGTCTCTGGGTGCAAAGGGTGTATGTTCCGCTACTAGCCTTGAAGGTCTGCAGAGGAAAAGTCTGGCGATCATCTCCCTTAACTGTGACAGCCAAGAAAACCCAGTGGAGCAGGTCTGCGGTGGCACATGCGAGGCCCTGCGTCGGAATAGATTCAACAGCACTGGCTTCTGCCGCTCACAGGCGCATGTGCTGTCACCATTCTGAGGGAATACTGCTTGCATTCATGACAGGAGTAGAGTTTTCAAACGAGTTTTTCATGATGCATGCTACTGTCGAAAATGTTGGGGAAGACTTTGAAGGTGTGCACCGTGGCAGTTAAGTGCTAAAGGACATTGGCTAGGAAAGGTCAGGTTCCTGAGTTCCAGGGACTCGCTTGTAAAAGCTCGTGCGTTTATCCGGTCTTCACTTGGACAAGAAACAGGTGCAGTTAATGGCTTGACTTCTCTGATCTCCACAGATTACGTTCCCACATTGTAGACCTTTTTTGACTTGCATTTTAAATTCTGTATTTGTATTTCTGTGCCCCTGGACTGGAGCCAGGACTTAGCTCCTTTGGTGTGTCCATTGGCCAGTACTGTATGCGGCACCTAGGTGAGTGCCCTCACAGCATTTGCTGGAAGAATGACAAGACTTTCTATGGACAGTGATGGAAAGTCAGCCTGCGGATGAGACTTTATTCTTCCCTGGCTTCTGTACTTCCATGTGGTATATTTCGTTACCAGTTGTGGCTCTTTTATGCCCAACTAAAATCAACACAGGGTATTTCTCTCTCTCTCTTTTTCTATTGACATATACTGTCGAACTCTAAATAGAGGCAATTCCTAGAACCAATATTTATGAGCACTCATTAATGACTAAGAATAGTAACTTACTTGTAAATCTAGATTTTAGATCCTAATAAAATTAAATCCCCGACAACTTAAATACTTTCTCCATTTATTGTGAGGTTGCTTCTTGGCCCAATTGTGAGGGTTTTGTTTTCTTTGTGTTGAGGTGTAATCCATAATGGCCTTAATCCATCCTTGATCTTAATCACTAAGTGCTTTAAGCCCTCTTCACTTTCAGCAAGCAAGGTTATGGCATCTGCAAGAGGAGTCTTCCTCTTATCCCAATGCCTCATTCTTCATATAGCCCAGCTTCTCTGATTGTTTACTCGGCGTGTAAATGGAATAAGTTTGGTAGAAGTGTACAATCTTGACACACAGTTTTCATGGTTTTAAACCACGCAGTATCCCTTTGTCTGTTCAAAAGACCACCTCTTGCTCTAATTACTGGTTCTGTGTGAACAAATGTGCTGCAATTCTTAGCCTTCCGTAGGAACATGGTATCCGGGGGGGACCAGCCCCTGGAAAAGGACATCGTACATGGGAAAGTAGAGGGTCGGTGCACACGGGGAAGCACCTCAGCTCCATCGGTTGACAGAGTGGCTGCAACAGTGGGTTCAAGTCCGACAACAATTGGGAGTGGGGTCAGGACCAGCAGGTTTGTGCTGTGGGGCATGGGGCCGTCCGCCCCGAGTCAGGATGCACCTGAAGGCGCCTAACAACAGCAGTAACAAATGCAAGACGGCTTTTAATTGTGTCCTGTCATGGGATTCTTGTTCCTCCTAGAGTTATAACTAGCTATGAAAATTGCTTTGTAGGGAGTACAAAGTTAAAGAAATCACGTTTGATTTACAAGAACATTTGCTATAATTACTTTTAAAACTACCGCTTGCTTTTTTGAATACCAAACTTTAGATCACAACATTTTCTAAAGAAAGAACTGTTCCTTCCATTTTTTCCTTTCCTTTCCTTAATCAATCCCCAAGCTTAAACTATGTGTTTGCATGTCCATTCTGTCCCACCCGGATGATCTATGTTTCATCTATAAAGACAGTCTGGTAGAGCACCAACTCCGAAATGAAACATTCTTTTGAGCCAAATGATTCGTGTTGGTGAGTGCTTTTAACTATTAACTGCAGAACAATGGGTGCTTGTAGTCTGGCGGATCTTTACTTGGTACCGTGTAGCATAACGGACAGTTTCTGTTTGATTGGTGAATGCCTGTGTCTTACCTAAACACAACAAGAGACCCACTGCCGTTGAATTGATCCTGACTCACAGCAATCCTATAAAGAAAGAAAAAGAAAGCAGTGTCTCCTGGCCTGAAATGTGGGTTTGCGTTTTTCTGTTTTCACTCTAAACAGCTGGTTATAAAACCTATAAAAACCTTACACTGACTACCATAATTATATCTTTTTAAAAAGCGAGAGTGTTTTTTTAAACATGCTTGTGCTATATGCATTTGAAATGAAGGCTAATGATCATTGTTCTTTATTTCAGAACGCTTTACCGTGTACAGCTCTAAAACCCTGAGACAAGCCTGGAATAAGTACGTATATCCGCGTAGACGGCCCTCACGCATGTTACCCTGCTCTCTCTTTTTAGCTTTTATTGGTTCCTCAATGTTTAATTTGTACAACGGTGCTGCTAAGTGTGTATTTGTTATTCATTCCTTCATAGAGTCATTAAACAATTATGAAACTTTCACTGCAGGCCAGACCATACGACCTGAACCTGCACCCTGTAGGCCTGAACCAAAGACCATGTGAGCTGTTGGTGTTAGAGCGGTGTGGCATCATGTCAGGGTTGCATCTTCTAACATTCTTCCTGCGTAGTCTTCCTGTAAGATTTCTTGTAAGCCAGGAAAAGGTTTAGTATCAGCAAAATGCCATTTGTTAAATGCAATATATCGAGTAGCTCTCTGGTTTAAATAATGCTGATGACAACCTTCAATGTAGATAAAATTGCATTTCAAGTTTTCTGTTTACCTCCACACCTCCTCCCCAACCCCCTTCCCCAAGACTTATTAGAAAACTAAGTTCATGTCTCACTGGAAAGTAAATGCTACTTCATCCATTCAGTTTCTGTTTCCAGCTCGTTGAAATTGTTTTCGTTACTGGTTCTGAAGTGTGTTTGCATTGCTGGAGAGCTGGGCTTCACGTTATTTTAGGCTCTTCTATTCAGTCACTCGTTGGCAGCTGGAAAGCGGGGTACATGAGTCTATCTGACTTAGTTGTTGGTCTCTGGCTGGATCACACTTCTAAGGAGTCCCAAGGTTAGCCCAATGTTTAAAGGTCTCTGCTGCTACCGAAAAGGTCAGTGCCTCAAACCCACAAGCCATTCTGTGGGAGCCAGATCCGTGAAAGTCGGTTCCATAAAGATTACAGTGTTGGAAGCCCCATGGGACAGTTTGACTCTGCCCCCTGAGTAGCTGTGAGTGGGGTTGGACTCTCTGTCAACTGGTTTTATTTTGGTTTGGTGTCACATGATAAGTATTGTGTAAGCGATAAGGTACCTGGATCATCCTGGATTAAATAAACTATAATTCATCCTAACAAAATTATATTTATGGGAATTTAGTGTTACAATCTCAGTTTTTATGGTTACAATAGATTTAATTTTCAGACACCATCAGTTATAGAAATACAAAATGAGAAAAAGCCTCATATTGTAAATGCCTTTAACCAGTGCTACTAGTTGGTACAATGCGTAGCTTATACTGAGAAACTCATGGAATGCAATACTGTAGTGGTTTAACTGTTGCCTCTAGTAATCCATTTCGATTAACTTCATACATAGAAAAACACACTGGTGTAATTATTTTTTCTTATGGGCTACTTTATTTGTTTCTGTCACAAAAATGTCTAAAGGTTAGAACAATACAGACGATGCAGCATTTGCTAATTCAGCTCCTCCCGTAGAATCCCCCAACATCCACAGTAACCATCGGGTCACGCAGCTGGCACCAAATTCCTTTACAGGCCTGGAAGCCTGGCCTGGGAGGCATGCCTTCTACTGAAAGCATTTGGACGGATGCTATAGCTATTTTAACCACTCAAGATGGACAGTGTTGTGTTTTCTACATTAATCACGTGGTCAAGCTCATTCTTCTTTCATAGTTGTTCAAACACGTTGGCCCAACCAGGTAGCCACTTACCAAATATCTTCTACAAACCAGTTGAATGACTGACTCTTTGAAGTAACAGAAAAATCTGGCAAATCTCTACTCCTCGTAGCATTTTGGTGGTTGTCGTTATTAGAAGCCGTCAAGTCAGTTCCAATTCATAGCGTCCCTTTGTCCAACAGAAAACAAAATTGGGAACTGTGATTCTCTGCTGTTGCCACGTTAGAGTAATTTTGAAACTTTGTGAATTTCACTTCTGTTCATCTCTGAGCTTAATCACCACCTCCCGTTGCCATGAAGTTGGCTGAATCACAGTGACCCTGCGCATGCCCTAGTAGATCTCTGCTCCACAGAAGTTCCAGTGGCTGGTTTTTGTAGAAGTGGATTGCCAGGCCTTTCTTCCAAGGCACCGGATGTTCCATGTTATCAAGTTGTTGTCAACCATATGTACAAAAGAACAAAACGCCCCCCAGTCCGGCACCATCCTTACAGTTGTTGTTATGTTTGAGCCCGTTGTTGAAGCTGCGGTGTCAGGCCATCACACTGAGAGTCTTCCTCGTGCTGCTCCCCCTCCGCTTTACCAAGCATACAGTAATGCTCTTTTCCAGAGACTGGTCTCTCTTGAGCACATGAGTTGAAGGCTCACCATCCTCGTGTCTAAGGAGCATTTTGGCTGTTCTGTCTGGTCTGCGCTTCTGGTGTTGTCATTATTCGGCCCCAGCCCACCGTGCAGACACATCCCTTCCGCTCCAGACATCCCCACTGACCGTCCAGTTCTCGCGAACATACATATGGTGCGATTGAAGAGACCGTGATGTGGGTCAGGAGCACCTCAGTCCTGAAACTGCCATCCTTGCAGAGGCTTCTGCAAGAGATTTGCCCAAAGCAGTATGACATTTCATTTCTTCACTGCTGCTCACCTGAGTATGAATTGTGGAGACAAGTACAAAGAAATCCTAATTTCAGTGTTTTCGCCATTGACCATTGTGTTATCTAATGGTTCAGTTGTGAGGATTTTGGTTACCTTGACATTGAATTATAATCCGTACTGGAAACTACAGTCTTCGATCTTCAACCAGTAAGTGATTCAGGTCTTCTTTGCTTTCAGCCAGCTGATTGTCCCATCTGCATTTAAAAAAATCTTACATAAAAATGTAACAAGTCTGTCAATTGATTTAGAACATCTTACATAAAATAGAGCACTTCTTTAATTACTTGATATATATATTTTTTTTTTGCCAAAAAATTTATATAAGTGCTAAGTCCATGGAAGGGCTATAGAATAGTCTCACCGTATTTTAAAAAGGTTTCTTTAAGATGATGTTCTTATTTTGTGAAAATCATATTCCAGAGAATTCATATTGTCTTCAAAATTGAATGTTTATTTACTAATATTTGAAGCCCCTTTATATCAGTGAGATTTTAATTTTGAGTAGAATTCTCTGAAATAAAATTTTCAATAAAGAAAGAATATCATCTTAAAAGAAACTATTTAAGATACTACTTCAGAATATTTTTGGTTTGTACTTTCCATGAACATAGCATTTATACTTTTTCTACAAAAAATAATGCAAATAATTAGAATTATTACATTTTAGTGGGATTTTTAGAATCAGTTGACAGGTTTGTAGCTATCATTTTGGGTTTTGTTTTCTAATCTTCACTGCCAGGTTCCACTCTTAGATTATATTTTTTAACATTTTAGGGAAAATATTGAAAGCTGGGCTTGAAGAGATTTTAAATGTATAAAAATGAGTTGTTTACAACAAGTTATCTGTTAAGTCTTATTTGTGTTGCTCGTAGGGTTTATTTTAGAAAAGAGTAATAAAATTACCTCTAAAATATAAAGATATTACTTCCTGTTGGTCCAGTCTTAAGTACTGAATCCTGAAAGCCTTGTCCACCGGCTCTAGCCAATTGGAATGCAGTATAATTTAGAGCAGATTGAAACTAGAGACATTAATTGTATTATTGATTATTCCTCCAAATGGACCTGCGACCTTGCTACACCATTGACATTCTAACATCTCACACACTGAGGACTGGGATGTAGATCTGGAATAATTGTGTCCAAGTACCAGTAAACATCTGCTAGCTCTCCCAGTTACTGCTAGCTAATTTGTGCTTCTGCAGCAGTTACTAAGTTAAAACGATTGGTAACCTCTTTTGTACAGTGTTAACAGGTTCAAAGTAAGGTGAATGGATTTACAAGCACATACTGGAATTCAATTTAGATGGGTTAATACAAGATGAGTGCAGTGCTTCAAATAAAAACGCAAGTGGTTCATCAAGAGTGAGTAACAATGTTTTTAAAAAATCTCCATTAACCCACTTAGTAAAGCCAGTGGACTTGTTAACCAACTTTAGAGAATCAGGGTTCCCTGAGAAAGGGATTCTTCAAGCTCTTTGCCTGGCTCCAACAAGTGACCCAATTTATTTCAGCGCCAGGTCTGCCTCAGGTAACGCCCACGCAGTTCCCAGCTGACTTCGTTTATGTAAGTAACCATGGGCATAATTTTAGCCTTTGAAAGTTGATTTAGTGTTCTAGGGAAGCAAAGTTATGGGAAGAAATATTAAAAGATCCAGGAGATGGACAAACACAAAAGGATAATAGGAAGAAGGTATCTTAATAATAAGATTTTAAATTGTATTATATTAATACTAATATTCAGAATATTAATAAAGAAAAGAAAGTCCTTTTATTCCCTAATAGTAGAAGTGCATGATCTTATGGACTCTTTGTGCTAAAGAGGGGTTGGGATAAAAGGGGAGACAAATCCTAATTTTATAACAACATGTGCTGTTTTCTGACTGCTTTCAAAAATTTCATCTTGTTTGCTTGGAGTCTCAAAGACCCTCCTTAGCTGTGTTCTAGATCTCTCTATTTATAGTTGACTGACATTGGCACGTATGCGCAATGAACCAGGAATGTCAGCCACTTAAATGATCTTTTATTATTTTGGCTGGAGAAGAAGCCTTAGTATGTTCTCTGCAAACAGAGCTAAGGATAAGGTTCCAGGAACACATTTGCTTGTTTTGGAACTTCGTAACAGTTGAACAGTTTTGGAGGCTTGAAAGTGGCAGAAAGAGAACTGAGGCTAAGCCACCAAAGTGGTGGAAGACAGACCTGGAGAACGCAGGTCCAGTCGAGCCGAGGAAGCAAAGCCTACCCACAGAATCGACGAGGTCTTTCTAGGAAGTAACCTTGTCCCGCCTGCTCCACCCACACCCTCCAGCTCCCGGTTCATCAAATACAATTGGATCTCTCCTGAGGACTTACAGGCGATTCCTACTTCAAGATGGATAATAAATACAGAGACATGTTTAGGAAGCTGTTGCTACAACAAGGCAATAATAATAATACAGAGGAGAAAAACCTTTGCCTGCGCATATTTGAATATACTCACAGCATCACGAGCCCTAGT